GCTCTGAGAGGATGAAAGTCATAATTTGGCTTATATTATCAAGAGATCAATTTTAACCTATTAAAGTCTGAAGTAACTATTGAACATCTTTTCTGGGATAGAACTGAAAATGAGAAAATTATCAACACGTAGGTAAGGTTTAAAGCCATAGTAATAGAGAAGGTCATAGGAGAATGAGTACAAATAGAAAGGAAAAGAAGTCCAAATATTTAGTGGTAATACCAATATTTAAAAATCAAAGAGATAAAGTAGAACCAGAAAAGAAAACTGAAGAGAAGTAGTCAAAGATATAAAAGATAAATAAGTGACCATGGACTTCTGTAAGACTATATAAAGTATTAAAAGAGAGATGTGATCACCTGAGTCAAATGCTGCAAATAGGCCATACTGAGATCTGATAAGCACCATAGAGGTCATTGGAGGTCATCAAAAAAGCACTTTCAATTGAGCAGAGGTAAAGCCTGATGGGAGTAGATTCAAGAGAGAAAAGGAGTGCTATCAAAAACAATTATTTTAAGAGTTTTGCTGGAAAAGGAAAGAGAGAAGTGTGGTAATGGCTGAAGAGGGACATGGAATATGAAAGAAGTTTTGCTTGTTTGCTTTAACAATTGGAAAAATAGCTTTTTAAATACACTGGTGGGAAAAATCAAATAGAGAGGGCAATGTTGATGAGACAGAAGAAAGAATTTCTGATTCAAAGTCCTTGACTAATGATAGGGTGTGATATTTGTAGCACTAGAAGATTGGTACACGAAGGCCATACATAGTAAGAGGAGAAATTGAAGAGTAGATTGGAACAGGCGGGTGGGTGCATGTGGTAATAGTTGTTTCTAGAGTGAAGGAAGCAAAATCATCTTTCCATGACTGTATTTGGGCCTCTTTATTTTCTGTAAGCAGCAAACTCAAAATCACTTACAGTAATAGAGAAGTCTAAGATTTTTTAATAAGACAACAAAGGACAACCCAGCAAAACAGATGATAAAAACAAGATAAAAGTAGGAGTATGATGTGCTAAAGAAATAAATAGTGCATCCTGGAGACTCAAATGTCAAGTGCAGCATTGTGGATCATTCTATTTAAAATTCTGATTTAACTGTTCTTTTTTCTTACTCAAATGAAGGTATAAAAATATAAAACTTTAAAAATAAAATTTTAATTCATTAGTGGGGCTGAATACTAGTTTTCATTAGGAAGATGAAAACATTGAGCAATATTAGCAGCATTTATGATCTGTACTATAGTAATATAGGAATGTTCAATTCTAATTTAATATACAATATGTTTTTGCATAAACCATATTTAAATGAATGGTATATTGATATGAATAATTACTATAGCTTTTCTTTAATGGACAGTATTAACCCCGTAACTATGAGAAATAACTATTAATCTCACCCAGACAGTAAATGTACTCAAAGTGTGGAATACAGTAAAATATGCACTGAACCAGTTTCACAAACATAAATATTATTTTCTGTCCTCAAAGTGTTTATATTCTTTTTTAGAAGAATAAGAAAAATATAAACAAGTCATAAAATATGAAAAGAACATTTATAAAATAACATTACAATAATGGCATGGTAATTACAATAGCCCTCAAGGAAATAAAAATAAAAATATCTTTAGAGTTGGATGAGATTAGTTGAGGTGAATTCTTAAGAGAAGATTTGAAACAGTGTTTTGAGAAGGTAATTGACAAGAGTAAACTGAAAAGATTCCAAGAACGAACTCATACAAATATAGAGAGGCTGAAAGGAGAAAGGAGTAGCCATATTAAGTTTCTAAAGCAGGACTCATTGTAAGGCTGAAGTGAGAAAGAGTTCCAAGTTATAACATTATAATTCTTCAGGTACTAACAACATTTTAACTGGTTAAAATATTTGAGTACATCTTTTAAAATAATTAGAAAATTATGTACCTTTTTCTACATACATTTTTATATAGACTTCAGGCAACAAGTTCCTCTGTATGGTCAATAGCCTACTTTTTTTTTTTTTTTTTTTTTTTTGAGATGGAGTCTCATTCTTGTGGCCCGGGCTGGAGTGCAATGGCACAATCTCAGCTCACTGCAACCTCCACCTCCAGGGTTCAAGAGATTCTCTTGCCTCAGTCTCCCAAGTAGCTGGGATTACAGGTGCCCACTACCATACCTGGCTAAATTTTTTGGATTTTTAGTAGAGATGGGGTTTCACCATTTTGGCCAGGCTGGTCTCCAACTCCTAACTACAGGTGATCCACCTGCCTCAGCCTCCCAAAGGGCTGGGGTTAGGCATGAGCCACTGTACCCAGCCTAATATTCTACCTTTTATTCCATAATGATTACCTGGAACCTAAACTGATCTTACAAATTAAGAAATAGAATTAGCATTCAGAAGGCAAAAGAGAACCTACTCTGTACACGGTGCTGTCTGTGTGTGTTTGTGAGTGTATGTATGTATATCTGTATATCTATGTATGTATAATTTTTCATTAGTAATAAAAAAATCAGTGTATTTAATTTTGAGACTTTTGTTCAATGTGATGTGAATGTATTGTACTTTTATTTCATTGGCTATTATGGCTTAGAAAAAGTTTTTGTTCATTTTCAGCAAATAGGAAATGAAAAGCCATTTCTTTTGTTGTACCTTTGTTAATAGGAACTTCTGAAAAATAAAATGTGTACCCTTTTATTTCTGTAATCATTGAAAAATCCTTCTATATGTATCAGAAGAAATGTTATTAAAAAGCTAAAATTTTGGTAACAAAGAAAACAACTGAATAGGGCCAAATGAACAGAAAATTCTTTCATGGTAAAAGTGATAACATGATTATAAGAAAATGGACAATTGCTAAATCAAAATGAGTGACTACTAAAGTCTATCTCTGATCCCTTACCATTCACTAATTCTAATAATTGTTGTATATGCCATCTCTAATCATTTAGACCTAAGAAGAATTTCCTAAAAATTGGATTGCCAAAATTTTTATAGAAACCATCTTAGAGTGTAACGACCTTCTCCTTGACACCCAAGAGTTACTCACACAGTTGCCACTTCAACATTCCCAATTCATAAGGCATTATGTAGCTATGCAAATTCTCCAGGCCTGACTCATGCTCTCGTGTGTGTTTCATCTGACCAGAAACAAATATTGGCCTTCTTGTTGTCCATCAGAAAGTGTCAAGGCACTGTTCTATTACAAAATAAATATATAAACGACTGAATGAATATTAAAGTTTCCATCCCAGTAAAATCTATACACCTGTTTTCTTCCAAACACACCGTAAGCCATCTTCCCTGTATATTCCCTCTTCCTGGAATGGCCATCCCTGTCTTTACCACCTGGTCCTTTAGTAGTCTTATCAGTAGTATGAAGTCTTGCTTGAACAACCCCAATTTTGAGAATTTCCCACTCTGCTGAAATCCTGTATCATAGTTTGTCTTTATCAGTTGTTTGGTATTTAAGCTTTTAGTCTGACATGTATGTTTGCATCTTTTGAAATCCCACACTTAGCCTAACATATTTAGCAAATACTTATCAGTATTTTTATTTAATTGGAGCTACAAAATCAGGCAGACCACAAACTTAATGGTAGTTTTGACCTTTCCTTGCTGAATAATCTTAAATTCCCTGAACTTCAGTTTCCATGGTGTAGAATGCAGATAATAGTAACTCTATCCTGACTATAATAATTAGTCAATAAATAGTGGTGTTGCTGATGCTTCTGATGACAATGACAGATAACAACAACATCAACAATGACTATTTTTTTTCATTCTTTCCCTTCATTGTGCTTGAACTGATTTGACATTTTCCATAACATAACCTGGATACTTTATTTATTCTTTGTATTAAAAATATTTCCTTTGTGTCAGCCAAACCCAAAGTCCCTTTGTTTCAGCCAAAACCCAAAGAATCCATTCAAGTTACGTCCCAAGTTTGATATGTTCATAATCATTCTCTATCACAGTGGATGCTTTTTTATAATTTTAGTACAATTATGATCATTTTTTGTCCTTACCCATAATTAAAATTATGTGATACTTGTCAAAGCGGAAGACTGACAAATAATATTATGAAGCAGAATTGAAAGACCAGAAATATACCCGATTATCTTTAAGAATTTATATCTTTTCAGAAAATTTTAAATCAGTAGAGGAAAGATAGATTATTTAATGAATGGTGTTTTTATGTTCAGCTGAGGGGGAAAAATGGATCCAAAGCTAGCACAAGCCACTAAAATACATGAGATATTTTAAAAGTTAGAAGACAGAAACAGAAAGAGAAACAATGAAAATATCAAAAGAAAAAAAATCAAAGACTTTTTATATTAGGAAAATACTTTTTAATAAATCAGTGTTATATATCAAATCTTTTCAGTGGTAAAGAACTAATTTATTTAATTAACACAGAATTCCTACAAACCCATCAAAATGGTTGAAGACTATAAGCAAATAATTCCATTAAAAATGTATACTGTCTGTAGTTCTTAAACACATGAATTGGTTCTCAACTTGAATTATAAAATAGAATCATATGCCACTTTCACCTATCAGATGGGCAAAAAATAAAGAAAAAATTGATGGCAGCCTACTAATGAAGATGTGTGGAAGCAGAATCTCAAATTAAAGATGGAAATTTAATTGTTTAAAATGTTATGGAGGTTTATCAGTTATCTTTTACATTTAAAAATACATGTATTTTCACAAAGCAATTTTGCTTTTAAGCAAAAATTTTCTTTTGCTAATTACAGATATACTAAGATATGTTCAAAATGATGTATGTATGATAATATTCATAGTAGTTTTAGTTGTAAAAAAATGAAAACAAATACTCATCAATATAGAATTGGTAAAAAGATTTTGCTATACTCATCTAAATAAAATCCCTTTTACTTTAGAAAGCACTCTACAAGCTAACTGTAAACTATCCCAATATGTATTATTACATTTCAAAAGCAATATGCAGTCTGTGTGCATAATATTCTACTTTTGATCTAAAAGAAGTATTTATTTACTTACCTTGAGTGCAGTTGCATAGAACATCTCTGAATGGATACAAAAGAAATTAGGTGCAATGTTTTTAGAGAGGAGAAAATAGGCAGAGAGAGAGGAAGACTGGAAACTTAATTTTTATTGTAGTCTCATTTGCATCTTTTGGATTTTGTAACCTAGATACATTGCCTATTTAAAAGAGTAAGAAAAGTAGATAAGTTTTGAAAACCCTATAATTAGCCATGTTTTGAGAGCAACAGCAACAGACTGTATAATCTCCTCAAATCTTTTTATATAAACACAGAATTTAGACCCTGCCAATCTGCCACTTAATTATTTTAATCATGTGGAAGGGAATGAACTTGAAGATGATCTTGCTAGATGTCTTCTGTTTGCCTTTTGAGACCCACTCCACCCTTTCTCTGCCTCTGACCTGGACGTTCCCTTCCATGGACAACGTCCAGAGTCTCTCTTGCCCCTGGCTTTTGGTTGTATACAGCCGATTGGCAGTCCTGACAGGAGATTACAGGGAAAAAAGAGAATTCAGGGTATGTATTCTCTGCCTCCCTATCTGTGATACTCTCCTTCAACTGGCTGTGTCTTCATGCTCCTTTCATGGCCGCTGACTTGTTCCTGAAGTCCCACACCTCAGGCCTGAGTGTTAACAGCATCAATGTCACTGGCCCCAATGTACGGTCTACTCTTTGTGATTTTCCTCCCTGCCACCTTTTTTAACAGTCCCATTAAACCTTCCTCAAGTTGTTTGAATGGTGATAATCTTCTGTTTAGACCCTGTTACAGTGGAGGAAGCAGATATTGTTGTTATCATTTTGCTGTAATTAATATAGGAATGAATAAAACTGAATGTTTAAACATTGGCATGAACCATGTACAAAAGCATAGTTATGGAATTTTATATTAACTTCAAAAGAAAATCTATGTTGAAACAGAGTCTTTATTCAAAACGAAGGCCACTCTGTTTTGTCTGCTTCTGTATATATACAGTCTACTGGTTTCAAAGGCCTTTCTCCTTTCACTTTTTCTTCTTTTAAATTCGATTGCTTGACATCTTACTATTTAATGGCACACATACCATAAAATAGAGAGTAGGTAAGAGTCCAATGAATTTTTTTTATTTAGAAGGGATGAAAAATATATTGTATCTCCTGTTAGGTGGCAATCTTATACTTCTGTTTCTTCCCAGTGCTCCATGGTACTTCACCTTTGTTCAAAAGTTGAATACAGATGATTGAGCTAAATATTGTAGTAACTTCCTCATTATTAATATAAGGGTATTCATGGTACCCCTACTTGGTTCGTGTGTTAGATGAATCATTTTTTACTCAGGGCCACGTGATATTATGACCCAGGAGTGGTAATTCCACAACACACAGCAATTGACAGTGGCCCTTTTTGCTTGTGGCAAGGTTAGATTTGTGTTATTTTGAATGACAGAATGACGACAAGACTTTTTAATAACTACGAAGTAACCATCACAAATTTTTTCCAAACAGATGTTCAGTGGTTATCTTGTGACAGAATACTCAAACAAGTTGTCAAACTTAAGAATGATTTGTGCATTTTCTTTTTAAAATGAAATTTTCAAATTTACAGCCTTTTTTGTGATGTCTAGTGGGTTGCCACTTGGCATATATCCTATTAACACACAGACACACGCACTTCATGTCAGGTGCCCCTTCAAGATAAAGGTAATTTTTCACAGTAATGGAAAAGCAAATATTATTTGCTTTAAATATGTTACAAAGGGAGTATTCTGAAAATGTTATGTTTGTTTGGATATGTTTGCATAACTACCTGGATTTGTTAACAGAAAATATGTAAAAGCATGATCTGAAAACATCTAGTGTCTGTGTACTTTTAAAACTTGGAGACAAAATTTTCTAATCTGTCATAAAATCTTTAAAATAATGAATTTAAAAGTATAAAGATTCAACGGCTTTCACTAGTATGCAAGAACAACTGATACTTATTGAGTAATATTGAAAATGTTAAGCAAAATTGTTAAAAATATTTGCTTAACTGTTGGATGGTATTATTGAAAAGTATTATCATTGAGAATACATCAATAGCATTAATACAGACTCGGGATTTCCTCCTCATGGGTCTCTGCATCTTTTTGATGGATCCTTCCCGGCAATGAAGCTAAGGAAATCAAATATTGGAATGAGACCTCAGTACTATAAAATATAAGCTAAGGTCCTAAAATATAAATAAAAATATTCAATAACATAACTCTCACTAAGTAGTATTAATTACTAATAATTGTTAGAGCAAAAAGTGCTTTTGATTAAAACATACAGTAAAATTATTTTTGAATAGTATTTCCTCTATCTTATTCTTTTTAACTTGATTTCAGTTTGTGTATGTTTTGTAATGGAATATATTAGTATGAAAGAATATATTTATAATTCCTTTCTGTTTTTGTTATATATGTTTAATATAAACACAATGATGTTTTGATATAAGTAGTGAAATGGTTACTATAGTCAAGCAAATTAACATATTAATCATCTCACATAGCTATCACCCATTTTGGAATAAGAGCACTTAAAATCTACTTGTTTAAAAAATGGTTCAATATACAATACAGTATTATTAACTATAGTCTTCATATTAGATCTCCAGACTTATGCATAATATACAACTGCATCTCTGTTCCCTTTGACCCCCATCTCTCTATTTTCTCTCCCTGTCCACGTCTCACAACCACTATGCTGTGCACTGGACTTTCTTTTAGATCTCACATAAAAGTGCAATTGTGCAGTATTTTTCTTTTTGTGTCTGCCTTATTTCATGTAATGTTCTTTAAGTTTATCCATGTTGTATAAAATGGCAAGATTTCCCTTTATAAAGCTGAAAAATACTTTATATAATTATATATATATAATAAAATATTCTTGTTAGAAATTGAAAATATATTGAAACAAATTACATATAACAAATTATATATATAATGTATATATATAATGTATAATATATATTATATATATGTATTATCTATATATAATACACCTATATACATAATTGTGGTGGAGATATACATATATATATATATATATATCTGGCCAGGGCAATCAGGCAAGAGAAAGAAATAAATGGTATTCAAATAGGAAGAGAGAAAGTCAAATTGTCTCTGCTTGCAAATGACATAATTGTATATTTAGAAAACCCCATTGTCTGAGATATATATATATATGTCTCCACCACAATTTGTTTATCTATCCTCCCCCACCATTGATGGACATTTAAGTTGTTTTTATTTCTTGGCTATTATGAATAAGGTTGCCATGGATGTGAGACTGCAGATATCGCTACAACGTGCTGACTTTATTTCTTGCTGGGTACATAGCCAGAAGAGGGATTGCTGGATCATATGGTAGTTCTAGTTTTAATTTTTTGAGAAACTTCCATACTGTTTTCTATAATGGTTGTACCAATTTACATTCCCACCGACAGCATATTGAGTCCTCTTGGTGCCATTGTTTAAAGTTAGTTTAACCATGTATGCTTGCATTTATATCTGGGTTCACTATTCTGTTCCATTGGGCTATGTCCCTGCTTTCATGCCAGTACCATACTACTTTATTACAGCTTTGTATGCATATAATACTTTTTAAATTTTTGTTTTATTTATTTATTTTTATTTTACTTTAAGCTCTGGGATACATGTGCTGAATGTGCAGGTTTGTTACATAGGTATACATGTGCCATGGTGGTTTGCTGCACCTATCAACCTGTCATCTAGGTTTTAAGCACCACATCCTTTCCCCATTGCTTCTTTTTGTCAGGTTTGTCAAAGATGAGATGATTGTAGATGTGTGGTGTTATTTCTGAGGCCTCCGTTCTGTTCCATTGATCTATAGCTCTGTTTTGGTACCAGTACCATACTGTTTTTGTTACAGTAGACTTGTAGTACAGTTTGAAGCCAGGTAGCGTGATGCCTCCAGCTTTGTTCTTTTTACTTAGAATTGTCTTGGCTATACAGGCTCTTTTTTGGTTCCATATGAAATTTAAAGTAGATTTTTCTAATTCTGTGAAGAAAGTCAATGGTAGCTTGATGGGAATAACATTGAATTCATAAATTACTTGTGGCAATATGGCCATTTTCACAATATTGATTCTTCCTATCCATGAGCATAGAATGTTTTTCCATTTCTGTGTCCTGTCTTATTTCCCTGAGCCATGGTTTGTAGCTCTCCTTGAAGAGGTCCTTCACGTCCCTTGTAAGTTATATTCCTAGGTATTTTATTTTCTTTGTAGCAATTGTGAGTGGGAGTTCACTCATGATTTGGCCCTCTGTTTGTCTATTACTGGTGTATAGGAATGCTTGTGAATTTTGCACATTGATTTTGTATTCTGAGACTTTGTTGAACTTGGTTATTAGCTTAAGAAGATTTTGGGCTCAGACGATGGGGTTTTCTAAATGTACAATTATATCATCTGCAAACAGAGACAATTTGACTTTCTCTCTTCCTATTTGAATACCAATTATTTCTTTCTCTTGCCTGATTGCCCTGGCCAGAGTTTCCAATACTATGTTGAATAGGAGTGGTGAGAGAGGCCATCTTTGTCTTGTGCTGGTTTTCAAAGAAAATGCTTTCAGCTTTTGCCCATTCAGTATGATATTTGCTATTGGTTTGTCATAAATAGCTCTTATTAGTTTGAGACATGTTCCATCAATACATAGTTTATTGAGAGTTTTTAGCATGAAAAGATGTTGAATTTTATCAAAGGACTTTTCTGCATCTATTGAGATAATCATGTGTTTTGTTTTATTTTGTTTGTCATTGGTTCTGTTTATGTGATGGATTACGTTGATTAATTTGTGTATATTGAACCAGCCTGGCATCCCAGGGTTGAAGGCCGACTTGATCATTGTGAATAAGCTTTCTGATGTGTTCCTGGATTTGGTTTACCAGTATTTTATTGAAGATTTTCCCATCAATGTTCATCAGGGATATTGGCCTGAAATTTTCTTTTTTTGTTGTGTCTCTGTCAGATTTTGGTATCAGGATGATGCTGGCCTCATAAGATGAGTTAGAGAGGAGTCCCTCTTTTT